TGGTTTCTCTAAATATCAACAGCCGTGGAACACCCAGGTTCCACCTGCCGTGTAGGATCACTTTGAGCTGGCTTCAGTTCAGGGCCAGAGGTTTCTACCCTGGTCAGGGCTCTGCACTTGAGAGATGTGGACTTCCTGTTGCACTGTGCAACTTTGTCCGGATGACCATGCTCTTTTTCCTTCCTGTCTATTCTTTCCATAGTTCCTTCCTCCATGTTATCCCTTCTACTGTTTTCTGTGCTGATATCACCACAGATAATTATGAATCGGGTAACAATATACCAAGATCTTTATAACATATAAATGCGCAATTGGGTTACTCTTCTTACACCAAGCTTTACTAGAGCAGAGGAAGCTTCTGGATACGAATAGTTCAATGATTCACAATGCCAGTCTGATAGGAGAGAGAGGACGGAGGCACGCCACACTTTTCGCACTATGACTTACTCTATATTTCTGAAAGTAAGAATCAGCACACATCCTGATAAAATATAGATGGACAAATGAGGAAAGGTCCCTGAGAGCTTTTTTGAGGCTACGTATAATCCCAGAATTCTGACTTCAAGCTCTATGATCTTTCAATAGCACAGTCTTTAAATGATTAGTCTTTATTTCAAAGGGTAATTTTTGCCATATGTAGTATAAGTAGATGACAGTAGGGGTCATATAATTTTAAAAACTTTCTGAGTTTTATTATAACAAATCCATCTGGATTTATCTTTAGGTTAATGAACAATCTCACAACCCTCCTATTCAAAGACACAAATTCAAAGTCATAAAGTAAGACACCCCTCAGTTATACATCTCACATTCAAAATTTACTTCTAATCTTATAAAAAGTAATTTTAGTGCCTATCCAAATTCATCCAACTGGCTCTGGGGGCAAGTGTATCTCGACCCTGGCCCTGATCCCTTTTTAAGAGAATCATTTAATTCTCTCTCCTAATTTTTATATTCAACTTACAAAACAACTTTTGGATCGGTATTGATTTGGTAAAACTTTGAAGAAACGATAGCTCATCAATTACAGTTATTATAATTGATGATAAATTATGCATTCTTTTCCCCTCCAGATGAAGTCTTCTGTCTTACTTGCATTAGCATTTTCAGGAAGGCCAAGGTTACTCAGGCCATTTCTGGTCACATGATTTACTTTAAGCTGCTGAGATATACATTTTTTTACCCCTTTGAAACCAGTGTCAAAGGTGGTTGTGAAAATCTTGAGCATTGGAAGTAAAAAGCTATGTTTTTGATAGCAAAAAAATATTGTATTTCACATAAAGTATTCATCAAATTTAACTCTCTGGAGACACACTGCAATGCTTTTGTGAAAATTAGGCTGCAATCTAATTTTGAATGTTCTTTCACATCATTGCTGAGATTGTAAATCATATTCACCTTTATCAGGAATTGCTACATGTTTAGGGAAATCATAATTTTCTTAGTGTTTATACTATATACATCTAACATGGAACTGCCTTTATATGAAGCATATTTAAGTACTGTAAAAAAAAAAGACCACTGCTTTTGGGTCCATTCTGTCTCACAGGGACTCCATAGGACAGGGTAGACCTGCACCATAGGTTTCTGGGACTGTAATTTTTTTTGCAGGAATAGAAAGCCTCTGTAGTGCCTAAAAATGCTTCAAGGCATAGTGTTCGCCCTGCTGTTAATGTGGGAACTCTGATAAGTCTGACTATGGGAGGGAGGGATGACTTCAAGATAGAAAGATACTGTTGTCTGTTGGTTCTAGCTAAGCCTTGCAGCACAATCTTAAATAAGGGTGATGATGAGGCATCTTTATTTAGTTCTCATCCTTAGGGGAAATATTTTCAGTTGTGCCCTGTTAATTGTGATGTTGGTCATTGGATTTTGTATATGGCCTTCATTATGTTAAGAAATTTTCCTCCTATTCCTATTTTATTGTGTGTTTTTAATCAGAAATGGGTGTTGGATATTATCAAATGCTTTTTCTGAATCTATTGATATGATCATGTAATTCTTATTCTTTGTCTTGTTTATGTGATGGTGTGGTAGTCTGGGTTGACTAGAGAAACAAATTCACAGGCACTTATATGTGTGTAAGAAAGAGCTTTATGTAAAAGAGTAATTGTACATTAAGAAAACGTCCCAGCCCACTCCAGATCAAGTCCATAAGTCCAATATTAGCCCATATGTCAACTATTAGTCCATAAATTCCTCTTTGGACTCACACAGTCATGCAATAATGCCCAATGTAGGAAGATCACAGGTCAATGGGTAGAAAGGCTTGTGGACCCAGTGGCAGTAGAAGCATCTGAAGCTCTGGCAGCAGTCTCTGTGTTCCTCCGTATGTCTTGTCAGAAGGAATGTCTCACAGGGAGTGAGGGTGCCTCCTGCCTCCAGCAAGCTATTTATCTCCTTAGTGCCTCTTAATGAGGTCATGAAGCTGTGACCTGATTGACCGGCTCAACTCCACCCCATTCACTCCTAAATCTCAAATTGACAACAGATTATCTAACTACCACAGGTGGATTGTTTTTTAAATGTTGAACCATCTTTGCATCTCTGGTATGAATCTCACTTGGTGATGATAACTGTGTGTGTGTCTGTGTGGGTGTGTGTATGTACGTTGTTGAATTCTACTGACCAGACTTTTGTTTGGAATTTTTGCATCTGTGTTCCTGAGGGATACTGGTCTTTATATTCCTCTCTCTTTGGGGTCCTTTGATCTCAGGGTTACGCTCACTTCATAGAAAGGATGTGGGAGTTTGTTGTCCCTTTCTACCTTCTAGAGTAGTTTGTGTAGAATTGGTGACAGATTTTGCTGAATACTTTGCAGAATTCCTCTTTGAAGCCGTCTAGCCCAGGGGTTTTCTTGTTTGGCATCTTCTGAGGACCTTCTCTGTTTCTTCTCTTTTGTGATGGGTCTGAATCTGTGGACTTCATGGAAATGTATATGTATATGAAAACGAACTTAAAACAAAACAAAAACCTCACTGCCATTGAATCCATTCTGACTCATAGCAACCCTTTAAGACAGAGTAGACTGTCCCTGTGGGTTTCTTAGACTAACTCTTTATGGGAGTAAGAGCCTTTTGTTTCTCCTGAGGAGTGGCTGGTGGTTTCAAACTGATGACCTTGCAGTTAACCAACCAACTGGTAACCATTATGGCAGTAGGGCTCCCTATGGGCGACTAGAGTGCTTATTAAGTGCTTCTTTCACAGTATTTTCTCTCTAAAACCACAAACAAGTCAGATGTTCATCAGCAAAGGCTGGTTAAAGTAATAGAGTAGAATAATACCCTTTGGCATCAAGTAGATTATGACTCATAGTGACCCTACAGGACAGAGTACAACGTCACTGTGGGGTTCCACAGCTATAACTCTTTACGGGGTAGAAAAGAAAGAAACATCTTTCTTTTCTCCCTTCGTGTGACTGGTGGTTTCAAACTACTGATCATGTGTTCACAGCCAGTGCATAAGCCACTATGCCACCTACCACTTTGAGTAGAATAATAGAGGTTATAAAATAAAAACCTTTCTTGTTTTGTTTAACCTTTGGTGAATGCTTTGTGGGAGCAGAACTTACTTTTTTTTACTTAAGAATCTTCCTAACTTTACACTTCTACATCTTAAATAATTCACTCAGTGTAAAATTTTGAAAGTCATATAGATCTATAGGTCTCTATGAGTCACAGAATCAACTTGATGACGGTGAGTTTGGTTTTGAGTTATTTGAAAGAACAAAGCAGAGAAACTGTCTATTACAAAGTATGGTTCTTAGAGGAGCTCCATAATAGGCTTTCTTACAATCCAAACTTTACCTGATTTATTTGAAAAACTACAAAAGCAAAACTCACTACCATTGAGTCAATTCAGAGTCAAGGCAACTTTGTATTTCCAAGACTGTAAATCTGTAGGGAGCAGACAGACTTATCTTTCTGTAATAGTTCCCTAATACCCTATATCCTGCTGTCACTCTTGTTTCCTTGTTTTTACTTGTATAGGCTAGTAAGGTTAACTAGCACTTTCATAGAATCAGGCCCCTATCTAAGTATTTCACTCTAATCCTCACAACAACCTATGCATAAATATCTTCCTTGCTTTATTGATGATTATCATCATGAATTAAAATTGACTCAGTGGTAATTAGCACCAATCATAGCACAGATGAGGAGATGGAAGACGACAAAGTTTAAGTAGCTTGGCCAGGGTCACACAGTCAGCAGCAAATATTTGGGACTAGGATGTCTAGTATTTAAGTCTACATTTATCCACAACACTATCTTCTCAAGCAGGAAATGATTAAATCTTAGTGATTTTGGTGGTTGTGCACAATGCAAATTAATAGATTTTAAAAGAAATGGATTATGTTATATTTTGACATAAATTTGAAGAGAACTAGTTTAAAAACTTTTATTGAGACAATTAGTTAGTGGGTAAAGGAATTAACTGTGCAACAAATACATGTTATTTTATTTTTTAGTCTAGAATTATTGTAATTATTAATATCTATGCTGCTTCATGTTGATTAAAAATATTAATATAACTTCATATCATAAAATGAACCATAATAATGCTAGTAGAAGCCTTTTAACTTAACTGGAGTCTATTAAAATAAAATAAACAGTTATTTTATGGAATAAATTTGTTAACAGAACAATAACACAAAAATAGTTTTGCTGCTTATGGAAACAAGTAATCATTGTTTTCATTTCTATATGAAATTTGATTTATATGATTAAATTTTAATGAAAAGTTTTGGCATATATTGTGGAGGCTTATTTTTGATGTAACATAGATTTTCTGTTTGTTTTATCTCATTTTTGTCAAGCGAGTTTCTACTTTTGTGAAAAGGGAACAGATTTAGTGATTCCCATTTAAATTTCTAATTTAAAGATTGCCTAGAGCATTTTTATTGATTTTATTTATGCCATTACTTAATGTATACATGTATCCAACATCTTCTGGGATATTTTCTATATATGTTTATGCTCATTTGTTTTAATGTTTTTCAGTGTATTCCAGCACCAGGCCGTTATGATGTTCAAAAATCATATGACATGTCACAGGGGAAACAAAAATATATGCCACCTCGTAGTCTGGTGGCTAAAAGAAAGCATTCCTCCTTTCTTAGTGCAGCTCCTCGATGCTCTGAAAAAATTAAAGATGGACCAGGTAAGTGAAGACTATCTTTTAAAACTATGGAGAAAATGTCAGCTTTTCATATGTAGAACAGATCAGATGGTTTCATTGCATGCTTTCATTTTACCGTTTCTTTTCTTGGTATGTAGTATAAAAAATGAAAGATTTAAGACTTTACTTTTCCCAAATGTAATACTTATTTGGCACATTATATTTCTAATTTCACTCAAGTAATTTCACCAAAGTTAAAAACGTCATGTAGAATTCCATTCAGGGTGGAGAATCTCTCTAATATGCTAAAGGAGCTATAGGAGAAAGTCACCTTATCCTAATTTGGTCATATGCAGAATACATATCATCTCAATTCCATGGGTTAATGCTAATTTTTCTCAAGTTTCAAGTAAGTGACAATATATATATAGATCAATATTTATTTGCAGGCTTAAATTAAAAAAATAATTGTAATTGACGTAGCTATTAACAGTAGTATACTTGGTCTAATCTGAATGTAATAAATTTCCTTCTTCACCAAGATACCACAGCAAGTATGCTGTTTCACCTAGGCTGACTAAACAGAGAATATGGACAGTTGTTTTCAACAGTAATTTATATGCAATCATATTTCTATAATGAATCTTTGTGAAAATATAAAGAGACCTCACAGAAGGAAGAAATTCCTTCTTCCAAAGTTTTAAATGAGAAAACAACGGGACCAATGGTTCCGGGGGGACATGGGAGAGGGAGAGTCAGGGGTAAAGAGGTGGTGCTGACCAACCCAGGGACAGGGGAGCAACAAGTGATCCAAAAACAGTGGCAAGGAGGGTGCAAGAGGCCTGGTAGGGATTCAGCAAGGGCAATGTAACTGAGAGAAATCACTGAAACCCTAATGAAGGCTGACCATGATAGT